AACAACAACAACAAATAACATTATATATGGTCTTCATGGGAGTGTGGAAGACTGTGCTTAGCTCTGTTTAGTGCCCTCAAGCTGGTATTTCCCCTCAGGTTGCCTTCTTGCACGATCCATCTGTTAGTTCTTTTATGCTGGATATTTTTTTCTTTCTAGCATGGCTAACTTCTCTGTAGGAATCACTAAATACGGAGACATTACTAACCCCATTCATGTGAATGGAATTGTACAATGGTGTAGACACACTGTAAGAAATAGTTTGACTATTCCTCAACTAGTTAAATGATTGTATTCATCCAACAATTCCACTCCTAACAGTATACCTAGGAAACTCTGGTGGCCAAGTGGCCTAGGACCCAAAGGCAAGCTGATCTTTATAAAATGGCCTAAAGACACAGAAAGACTTTTCACAGAGGAAGATAGTTGTTTGGTCAACAGACACATGAAGAAATGCTCCAAATCACTGCCAGTAAGAGAGATGCAAATCAAAACCACAATGAAATACCATCTCACCCCAGTAGCAGTGACAGAGTTTAACAGGACACCAAGTAATAAATGTTGGAGAGGATGTGGTAAGATAGGAACTCTTACACACTCTTGATGGGGTTGTAAAATAGTATAACAACTCTGGAAAGCAGTTTGGTGTTTCCTTAAAGAGCTGAAAATGGAAATTCCATATGACCCTGCTATTCCACTGCTTGGAATATATCCTGAGAAAATGAGAACTGAGGCACCAATGGAGATTTATATACTAATGTTCATAGTAGTGTTATTCACCATCACAAGAACATGCAAACAGCCCAAGCGTTCAACCACAATCGAATTGATTTAAAAATTATGATACATTCATACAAAGAAATACTACGCAGAATGTAGGAGCAATGATTTTGAAAATCACTACCTAGCTTGGGAAGGAATGGAGAGCGTTATACTAAGTGAACTGATTTCCTTAAGGATAAATACTGATTAGATCATTATTGTAGAATAAGGTGTATGAGGATCTAAGGGTGGGAGTAGAGGCATTAGGATGGTGGTTGACCTTAGGGTTACACAATTTGATTGGTGGAGGGAGGGGTGGGTAAAGGAAATGTGAAAGATTCAGTGTGACAATCAATGTATAAGAACTTTTTAAGTAAACCAGTATAAAATAAAAATTTTATTTAAAAATAAAACAAAAAGCATAAGAATGTAAGGATGATGAAAACGGAACAAGATTTTTGAAGAATGTATTAGTCAAGGCTCAGTACTGAAATACTTATGTATTTAAAGTAGGGAGATACTAAGCCCTTACTGTTTACTTCTAGGCCTGAATTTAAGTTCTGCTTCTAGATTGTCTCTTGATTGATAAGTATAGACAGCACATTGTCCATATTGATCACTAAATCCTCATTCTCAAGATTTTGCTTCAAGGTGCAGTAATAACTTTGGTTTTTCCTCTGCCTTCTCAATCTTAAAAATCCAACTAACTAATAGCAAGGAAGTCTATGAAAATATTCCAACATTTTCAAAGAATTTACTACAGTTGAAAAGTAGAAAATGAATCTTTTTAGGATGGCTTCATTGATGACCGTATCAATAAAATGGATAAAATATAGGCATGTTCTGGAAACCTTAATATCAGAAGACATTATTTCACCTAACTCTGATACAAAGTGACCACTTGATAGAATGGCAGTGAGATCTGAAATTGGACAAAGTGAAATATGTAGGGATTCCAATGAACGAACCCTAACTGGTTAGAGATTTCAGTTCTTATCCATTGGAATAAAGAGTACAAGATAAAAAATTCTTGGCTTATTTTATATTATTGCATGGTTTTTAGTATTTTTGTAAGAATTTGTAGTATTTTTGTAGGAATTTTTTGCATATGATTTTTAGCTTGATTAGGGGTGTTGTTTTTTGTTTGTTTTGGCCATTCACCGTATGCTAATTTTCATAAAAATATCAATCTTCTACAAGATAAAAGGCTTACTGTGACACTGGGAAACTAGAAGTAGAGAAATGTTCAGGAATAGATAGACACCAACTTAATCTTTGCAGGTTTGGAAATAGTCTTGATGATGTTTAATTATGTTTGAAAACTAAGAGAAACTTATGTTTAAAACCTTTTTTAAAGAGAAAGTAAATTTATTGGTAGCCTGACTTCCCCTCCTCCACCCTTTCTTCTGGTATAATAAGTAATAACATGGCAAGAATTATCTGTTTTTTTTCAATTTTTTTTTGTTACAGATGGTCTCTCATTTTCACTATATTTTTTGCTAAATAAATCATGTAATATAAAAGTGTGTGCATTTTCCTGCTAATAACCTACCTAAAACTGTGGCAGTGGTGGTTGTTGTATGCCATCAAATAAGGACCAACTCACAGCAAACCCTCCTGTGGGTTTTCAGAGACACTAGAGTACATGAGAGGAGATTACTCATCTTTCTCCACGAGCAGCTGGTGTATTTGAATCACATTCCCCTGGATTGGCAGCACAATTCCTTACCACTAAGCTATCAGAGCTCCCTCTACCTAAATGAAAACTTTTTAACTTGCATTTTTTTGTCTTTTGTTCAGTATTCTCTTACTCCCACTACCCCGATATACAGGGTGAGCTCTTTAGCTTTATATTGTGAGTATAGAGGGAAATTATCGAGTGCTTAATTGGTTGAAATATTGATTATTTATGTTAATTTTAGGTTGTTGCAAGACATGAAGATTTACTGGCACAAGCAACGGGGATTGAATCTTTGGAAGGTATGTTTTCCTCAACTGTTAGTGTTTATTAGAGTTAAATCAGAGGTTAGCAAGCTATTTTAAAGGTCACAGTCATAGCCTTTGTTGTAACTACTCAGCTCTGCCATTGTAGAGTGAAAACAGTAATAAATATATGATTGAGTGTGGCTGTTCTCCAGACAGACTAGAATAAAGCCAGAACTCCTGAGGTATCTAATGAACTAAGTTCAACTCATTGCACTGCTGCTTATTAGTTGTGTGGCTTTGGTTAAATAATCTTTCTGTGTCTCTGTTTTCCTTTCTTTAAAATGGTATTGACATCATTCTATTCTGAGAAGTTAAGAAGTTAGTAATATGCTTAGAATAGGGCTATACATGTTCCTCTAAAAGTTTGTTAATGAAAACAACAAATGTTACTGCTATGGAATGGGCTTCAGTTCTTTATCATTACCTTTCTTGGAATCTTTCTTTTTTAAAAATTTTCATTGTGATTTGAGTGAAAATTTAAGGAGGAGATTAGTTTCTATGCAACAGTTCATATACATTATTCTTCGTGACATTGATTATGATCCCTCCATATAGTGGTAATCGATCTGATTCCTATGCATACCATCAGGTGAAATCCATGTATATAACCTGCGTTTATGTCTCTTAAAAAACGTATTTGCTGTGAATAAGTCATTGATTGTGCAAAGTTCAATCATTCTCTCTCCAGCTCCATTTCTGTCACCGAGTCCATGTTTTCCAGCTACTGAATCTTCTTCTCTGTTCCCAACTTTTGCATTCCAGTTACCCATTATTGTCAATGCATATTGATTGCATGTTCACTTGATCTCCGATTATAAAAGTTGGGGGGGTTAAACCAGGTGGCTCCTTGGAGGCAAGGATTCTGAGGTCCTGTCTAACACACTTTGGACTTATTGTAAGGAGAGACCGGTCCTTGGAGAGGGACATCATGCTTGGAAGGGTAGAGGGACAGCGCAGGAGGGGAAGGCCCTCTATGAGACGGATTGATTCAGTGACTGGGGTAATCGGGTGGATGTGTCAGAGACAGTGCAATTGGCACAGGACAGAGCAGAGTTTAGGGCTGTTGTACATAGGGTCGCTATGAGTCGCAAGCGACTCGACGGCACATAACAACAACAAAATATAGCAGTGCTGTCCTCATTTCCTTCCTGTGCTTTCCATTTCTATTCATCCTTCTTTTCTATCCTGTTCTGCATTATGAGCCTTATTCCTGGGTAGGTACTGCCCTTTTGATCTTGTGTAGACAACCACCTGGCCAACTGACTGGAAGAGATCTATACTTCTTCCCATTCCGAAGAAAGGTGACCCAACAGAGTGTGGAAATTATCGAACAATATTGTTGATACCACATGTAAGTAAGATTCAGCTGAGGATTTTCCAAAACTACTGGAACACATCAACAGAGAACTGCCAGAAGTGCAGGCTGGGTTTAGAAGAGATCGTGGTACTAGGGATATTAAAGCTAATGCCAGATGGATCTTGGCTGAAAGCAGAGAATACCAGAGGAATATCTATCTGTGTTTCATTGACTATGGTGCTGCCATTGTTCCAGTGGTGAGAATCTTTGTCTTCTTAATGTTGAGCTCCAATCCATATTGAAGACTGCAGTCCTTGACCTTCTGCACCAAGCGCTTTAGATGCTCCTCAGTTTCAGCAAGCAAAGTTGTGTCATCTGCATATAATTCTATCTTTTTTTTAAATTTAAATTTATTTCTGTTTGAGTACTTGTAAACCAATTGGCAGCACCACGATAGATGGAAAAGAGATTGATTTTGTTAAGAATTTCAGCTTGTTTCATTCACCACTCTTGGTACCAGCAGTCAGGAAATTAAAAAAAAAGGCATTAGGAAAATGTGCTGTCAAAGATCTCTTCAGAGTACTGAAGAGCAGAAATGTCCATCTAGAGCCTTAGGTGCACTTGATCCAGTCCATGGTCTTTGTAGTTACTTGCTATGCATCAGAGAACTGGATAATGATTAAGGATGACAGAAGAAGAATTGATGCCTTTGAGTTAGGGTGCTGGAGAAGTCTTGAACATACCACTGACTGCCAGAAGAGTAAACAGGTCTTTCCAGGAGAAAGTGAAACCAAGTTCTCTTTGGAGGCAAGGATTTTGAAGCTCTGTCTGATGTACTTAGGGCATGTGGCCAGAAGGGACTGGTCCTTGGAGCACATCATACTTGGAGGGTTAGTAGGACAGTACAGGGGAGGAAGACTCTTGAGTAAGATGGATTGACATAGTAACTGGGCTTAATGGAGGCAAATGTGTCTGAGACAGTGTGAGTGGCTTAGAATAGGGCAGGGTTCAGAGCTATTGTTCATAAGATTGTTATAAGTTACAGTTGACTTGAAGGCACATAACAACAAAGCTAATATAAACTCTTGTTTTCTTAGGTGTTCTTCAGATGATGCAGACAAGAATTGGGGCCTTACAGGGAGCTGTAGATAGGTGAGACTTGGGGAGAGATGGAGTAAATAAATGTAATGGGAAGATTTACATACATACTTAATGGTAAAATAAGTTTTATTCTTACTCCTCTTTTTTTCGTTCTCTTTTTTTCTTCTTTTAGGATGAAAGCAAAAATTATTGACCCATACAACAAAATAGTAGCCCGTACTGCACAATTGGCAAGACTTCAGGTAGTTTCACACTCTGAATTTCTTTGTATTTTATTATTTTTATGGTTTGTTAAATGAGTAAAACCTAAGAGTATGAATTATGAAGAAATAAGAAAATGGAAATGAAAATATGACAGAGGCAGTAAATCTTAAAAACCCTCAAAATAGCATCAGTCAGTCAATAGTCATTACTGTCAAGTCAGAACCGACTCATAGCTGACCCTCCAGCAGGTTTTCAGAGGCTCTTAATTGCATGGGAGAAGACTGTCCATCTTTCTTTTTGTAGAATGGCTATTCTGTCAGATAGTTAAAAACTCTGAAAAGCTATCCGACTCAATTAGTTACAACTAACTTTCACAATTTTTATAGAATTCAAAATTAAATCATGTACTAGATGAAAAAAGAGCCTCCCATTTACTCAGCTTTTTCAGTCTATGATCAAATCTAAGGCACATGAACCTGTAACTTTATTGTTTTAGAACAATGTTCTGGTATCTTTCAGAACATTAAATTCCGTATGGAAATAAGGTGGTATCCTAGGTTTATAGAAGAAATACTCAAAGTGTGTGTGTGTGTTTTAAAAAATATATTCTACCAAATTTTCATGATTACTGAAGAATTATTTATTTGCCTATAGTTGTAGTTGTTGTTATGTGCCATAAGCAACTCATAGCAACCTTATGTACATCAGCCCTAAATTCTGCTCTATCCTGTGCCAGTCACACTGCCTCTGACACACCCATCCCGATTACCCCAGTCACTGAATCAATCCACCTCATGAAGCGTCTTCCCCCCTGCGCTGTCCCTCCACCCTCCCAAGCATGATGTCCCTCTCCAAGAACTGTCCCTCCTTACAACATGTCCAAAGTATGTCAGACGAAGCCCCAGAATCCTTGCCTCCAAGGAGCAGCCTGGTTTAACTCTCTCCAGGATGAATCTCATTGTTTTCTTGGCAGTCCATGGTATATTCAGTACTCTTCTCCAGCACCACAGTGCAAAGGCATCAATTCTCCTTATGTCCTCCCTAGCCATCATTGTCCAACTCTCTGATGCATAACAAGTGATTGCAAAGACCATAGCCTATATCAGATGCACCTTAGTCTCCAGAGAGACACCATTGCTCTTGAGAACTTTAGAGAAGTCCCTAACAGCAGACTTTCCCATCGCAATACATGTTTTGATTTCCTGGCTGCTGGTGCCAAGAGTGTTGACCGTGGAGCCAAGTAAACTAAAGTTGTTAACGATCTCAATCTCTTCACCATCCATCCTGGTGCTGCCAATTGGTCCAGTGGTGAGAATCTTTGTCTTCTTGACATTGAGCTTCAATCCATACTGAAGGCTGCAGTCCTTGACCCTCTGCAGCAAGCATTTCAAGTCTTCCTCAGTTTCAGCAAGCAGGGTTGTGTCATCTGCATAAC